TTCATTATATCTTCCTTTTTATTCTTGTCTTTATTTTTCTCTTCTTTTTTCTTTTTCTTTTCCTTTTTCCTTTCTTTTTCTTTCCCCTTCTTTCTCTTTCCCTCCCTCTCTCCTCTTTCTTTTCTTTTTCTTTTCTTTTCGACCCAGCCCGGTACGACGGTTTGGTCAGCCCGGTAAAAACCGTCGGGGGGGGGGAAGTCTGCCCCCCCTGGCCCCCGCCTTTTACGCCACTGCTTATAAGATGAATGGGAATATGAATCATGCAGATCTGAAATCAAATCTAGGTGGTGGGGTCAACATTCCTCCCCCGGGAAAATTTTGATTTCTAGATGGCGGGAAATGACGGTGTCTAATGACTTTGTTCTTCAAAATTCAAGGTTTTCCCCCTCATGAAAACGGTAAGGTAAACTTTCTCAGCAGCCATACAAAAATCTCCAGACATTATATATTTTTCGCCAAAAAGTGTGGGGGGGGGGGGCCGGGCTTCCGCCGGCCATGTCAGTGTAGCAGGATTTTTTTTTCTCACGACCAAAACAACTTCACTCTCTAACATATTATATTGAAATTTAGTTTGTGTAAAGCGTCGTATGTGTATGTTTGTCTTGTGAAAAGGATTGTCACCTACAATTAGGACAGTGATATATTCGCTGTTGGAACATATTGGTGCATGAGTGTGTGTGCTTAATGCCAAGTTCAGACTAGGTGGATAAACCTGCCTCAACTCACCGGGTTTACCCACCTTCCAGTCTATGGCTAGTTCAGACTAGGTGGATAAACCCGGCTCAACTCACCGGGTTTATCCACCTGCCAGTCTGAACTAGGTGGCTTATCTCAAGCCGGGCTGTGTTCCTATAGTAACTAGGCCTGGCGTGCCACCGTGTTTAACTTTTCTAAGCCGGGCTTTAATCGTTGCGGGGGGTCTTGCATTGACTTCGGGTGACCGGTAATCTTGAGCCGGCCTTAACTTAAGCCTGGCTTATCCCCAATTCTGAACGTAGCCTATATAAATTAATAAAATGGTTGCGTCAACAGTAAATTAATGTACGCTTGCAGACAGCATTGTAAACAATACGCTACTTTACATTTAAAAAAATTGAACGACAGCTTTATCCAACTGTAAATTAGGTTTCATCAGATACTCTATTGGCTGTTTGTTTTATAAAGCATAATTCCGTTATGTAAGTGATGAGTGTACTTGCTGTTGGATGTGAAGGGGAAAAAGCCAGAGTATTTGTTCGTTTCTCTATGAAATCCATATAACACTATTCAACCAATAAATTAATTTTTACCTTTACAATAATGTACAAACAAAATGTCATGTTGCTCCCTGTCATTCGTGTCACTGACATTGTCAGATGTGACTGATTAACAGCAAGCTAGCAATAATTAAAACAGTAAACATTTCATTCAAATGAAAGGCCTAACTAAGGCTAATTATTTATAAACAAAGTAACTCACTGATCAGCGAGACTACCAAAAATAACAGATCCAAGTAAAACCCCAAAGAAGTAGATAGACTGGGCGAGCGAAGCCTTCGTGCCATCGTCACATACCAAGTCAAACTTTGAAGGCAAACGTAATGTTTAAGATTCAGTTGAATATTAAGTTATATATAAATATATAGGTGTAAAAACGACATAAAGGGAATTGATGATGAAGATGATGAAACAAGTAAGCAAGGATGATGATGGTTTATACAAATACCATTACTTTTAAGCCGGGCACACACCTGTCTCTTATACACATCTAGATGTGTATAAGAGACAGATATATGGCCACACTCGTTTTTTTGAACTGAA